CAATTAACTTTTCAAAGCAGTGAATTACGCTATAACCTCACTTTACAACATTAGGTTTTATTCTTCTGATAAAAAAGCTTCTGATAAAGACAAATCTGCGCCAGTTCTGTTGTTTGTTTCTGTCAAACTCAACACGATTTTAATCCTAATCTCAGATTTGTATTAAACGCAACAAAAGAGATCTTTTGAAAAACGCAAAAATTATGCGGCGTGAATAACTATTCGAGTGGTGCTACAGTTTTTTTATTTGCACTACGGTTTTCGATTTATGCGCATGATATCAAAAAGAGTTCACGATCTCTACATTACTCTTAAGTAAAACTTTCATTTATCGTATATAATTTGATAATGTAACCATACAGGGTGATTCAAAATTGGCGTCATTCCTCTGGCGGTGTTTATGGAGTACAGGAAAAAAAGTAAAAAAATTATTCTTATCAAAAACTGAGATATTGGCAAAAACTAGATTAGAAGTTCGGCAACAATGTTTTCCAAGGTAATCTGCCTCATTAACATTAGGTAAACACCTGTTGCTTCTTAAATATCAAAGCTCAAGTAACTATAGATAACTTTATTCGTTGATATATGAAATATGTTTTTCTTTATTTATTGATAGATAAACACAGAAAGTGAGGTTGAAATGCAATGAATTAGATTAGGGTAACGGCTGTCAACAAAAACTGATAAAAAGTTAGCGATCAATAATCTATTTACAATTAAGTTGTTAAATCACAAGAGGTGTGCGAAATTTTGCCCGTTTAACTACAAACATGTTTGTTTCCGTGTAATCACAATATTATGTACTCTTCGCAGCATTACTGGGACCCACATTTAATGTGTTCTGTGTGTCTTGCATGAGACTAATTTTAAAAAGCCCACTTAAAAATATATACGTTACCAAAAGTGGAATAAGCAATACCTGCTCGCTCCTTAGTGAGATAAAGTCCCGAATAAAATGAGCCACCCGGTATATTTACTTATTCGCTTATCTGAACCACACAAAGCAAATCGGCTGTATGTATAAATAGGTTGTAGGTATTCCTTGACGCTTATTGCTCGTTTCCCGCTTTTCCAAGAGGAATTTTTTTAATGTTTACATTGGCGTTGCCACACGAATTACGTATAAC